TCAACAACAACACACAAAATTCAATTAATTTCATGCATGAATAATTTGTTGATTGTTTTTTTTGTGTGTTTTTTTTCACATTTTTGTCTGATTTCAGTGAGTGATTGAGTGATTGATGGATCCAGTAAGTGTGATTGTCTTTTGCTTGGCTAACTTTTGGTGCTACTCATTTTACACACTATATGATGGCGAGAATGGCGAAACATCTCTATATAACTGGTGAGAAAAGAAAAGAAAAAAGAACACTGATGTGACCTTAAGGGGAATACAAAGACGATAAAATAACTAACTAATCAACGTTAAGACAGTTTAAATGGCTTAGATTATCGATCGGTGTTAATGATTATATAATGCGATTGATTTTTATCGTCATTTTCAAAATGACTTTATCAGGCGGGTAGACACACTTAACCAGCCAGTCCTTCGAGTGGTGTAATCAAGCAAGCAAGCAAGCCTCTGACTAGGCATTAACAAGTGAAAAAAAATAGGACAGTATTTCGAAATGGCGCATGAAAAATTACTTTAAAATAATGGCGAAACACACTTCTCGTCAACCATGTGGAAGGTTCGGGTTCAATTCCCGAATGTTGCACGCCTAAACTTCGCTTGATTTACCAGCCTATAACAAGTTAAGAAAAGAGAGCAGGTTTGTGGGTGCTGCTGTCAAGCCCATCCTGTAAGACAGCAGTATAACTAACTGCTAATGAATTTTCGAAACCTTGAACCCCCTATGTTCCAGCTGAACATAGCTCAATTTTCAAATTTGTCTAGGTGTCAGATATTGATCTACTGACACTCAAGGGTTAAACATTCTGTCACTTTATTGTTGTTAAGTAATAGGGAAAAAGATATTTTGGCGGCTAAAAATTACTCTTGTTATAAACAACTTATAAATATTTATAAAGCACAAAATAATTGAGCCAGTATAGAATATCCTTCTCGATAAATTCCTCCTCGTCTCCTCGCTCTACAATTATATACATATGCATGTTTATGTATATAGAATATTCTAGATTTATAGTCAATAACAATATTAGTGTGTGCTTTTTAAATAATATCGATTTGTAAAGTGAGATCACAATGGAATCACCACAGTTCATTAAAGATGCTTAAATAATAATAAAGATGTAGTGGCGAATAGAATATCAACTAAAATTAGGAAAATTCCACAAAAATTCAGGATCGATCGTTGAAACCTAGATGGCCAAGCGGGTAAGGATAATGTATAAACCAACCAACTTCTTTTGAATGCACTTCAGGCTTGTCAATATGGATCGCAACAGCCAGCCAGCCAGCCTCAGCAATATTTAGTAGTCGAACTGAACTCTTAAGGTAAAATTGAGATTTGTTAGTTGGTATGCGGTAAATGACCGTGAAAGCCGCCACCTGGTTAACATCAATCAGTCTTGTGTTCTGTTCTCTATCCACAAGATGAGTGAGATAGAATAGCGCTGCGAATAGATTTTGTTTGTCCTTTGCTTAACCGACCAACCAGTGTGCAGGGTGATGTTTGGAAATTCGACGAGAAACACGCCTAATTGTACGGCATATACAAGTAACTGGTAGATACACATGGAAGAGGCGAAATTAGGCAGTTTGTATTTTACTCCCGAATGAACGCAAAAAAGGGTTGGGTGGTTTTGAAGACACAGCTTAATTCGGCAGCAGCACTGAATGCTCTTCGTTTTACCGCCTCATTTCTAAGGCACAGCTGTGTTAGTACCTCGCTTATGTTTCTTTCAAGGAACTGACTGCATTTGTAAGAATAAGGCCTTCCTTTGCCTCGGAACTGATGGTGTACCTCGGGCTGCCTTCATTTTATTTTCATATTCTTATCAATAAACTTTTCTGGATAACCATTTTCACTCAGCAACCAACCGTTTAATAATTAATAACTTCCTTGCTCATCAAGACATTCATCCAAGCTGAAAGGAACACTGTGTGTGTGTACACTCTTCACAAGTCGTGGTTTCTCCAAGTTGTTCTTTGTTTTTTTGTTTTTTTTTGCTAACAGGGCATGTTAATGTCTGTCTGTACCGTTGCCATAGTAACATAAAATGACCCATTGTTTTTAAAACTCTTTTTGCAGTAGAAATGGTTATTATATATGTTTAAATTATTAAGTAAATTGGGTTTTTTTTGATTGTGTTTTTGCCTAAAAACTTTGTTCATTTCGAAAAAGAAAAAATCGCGAAAAAAAGAAGAAATTGGGCAAGGTGGAACGAATAAATCTGTCCAGATTGGAAACTAACGGAGATTGGTAATTTTTTTGCTACAGAATGTATCACCACCACGAGAGATTGTCAATATAATGGAAATATGAATATATAGATAGATAGATAGATAGAGACAATGTTCATTGGGCATCTCTCATTAGCATAAGTGATAATGTAAACAAGCTATCTCTTTTAAATGTAAAATACACCAACTTGTTTCCCTTCAATCAATGTTTCCTGTCAGACATTTTAAGACTTTAGCCTTAAGTGATATTTTATACTTACTACCTTGTTGGAGATATTATTGTATGCCTTGTAGAGGTCTCTACATTTTACTGGCTAAAACACCAAGACATATGAACTCTCTGTAAAGTTGTCTGGATTCTATTTCGCTACAAGTTAGAGTGACTGTCACTTACTTTTTTTAGATGTAGTCTATTTATTATTATTATTCTAAGAAACCATCGCGAAATCATCTATCTGTCTGTCATTCGACAATTTGAACAAAGCAAGAACTACAGTGGTTTTTGCAGAAAAAAAATATATATCAGAATATCTGCGGGAACTTATGTCTAAAGCTGGGGAGCAAATGCTTTTGCTGAACAGTGCCATCCATTGCCAGGCATCTCCTCGACAGTCGCGTCGGTCGGTCAGTCATGAGGTGGAAGTCGACAAATTTCGTTCAAAATTATCAATAGGCAATAAAAAAAGAAAGAGCTCAATCCTCTTTAAGTTTGCTGGAGGTATTTCCATTTCCATCGAGCGACTGAAACCTGATTAGTGCGTTCAGAAACAAGCGGTTATCAGTGTTTCTTCACCGATGATATATGTCTGATTTCCCACAAACTGGAAGATATGCAAGCGAAAAGCTGCAACAAGTTGGCAGAAGAAGCATCCAGAGAAGATAGGACTTCCTTTAGGTGAACATGGAGAAAACAGATGTGTTGATGAAGACTCCTGGCCAACAGCAACAACAACAGACAGCAATCAGCCAGCATAAATGGAAGGAACCTGAAAGAAACAACCTCTTTTACTCTACCTGGGAAGCATCGTTTCAATTACAGGACGACGGAACTGACAAGGATATCAAAGCAGCGAGGATCGGGAAAGCAAGACAAGCTTTCATTATTCTCAAGTCTGTGTGGAGGTCAACAGCTCTACTCAGAATCAAAAATAAGATCCGGATTTTCAACTCCAATGTGAAGTCAGTCAGTGCTACTCACTATATGGATCAGAGACTTGGCCAGCGCGTCATAAAGAGCACCTCAAACAAACTACAGACCTTCATCAACAGCTATTTGTCTTCGCTCAGTACTCAAGATCAGATGGCCGGTCGGCTAGGAAAGATCAGCAACAGAGATCCCTGGGAGCGAACCAACCAGAACCGATCATGAAACAAATAAGCAGGAAGAAATGAAGGTGGATTGGCTGGCCATACTCTGAGAAAACAAACCATCAAGTGAGTGACATCACTAGACAAACCATTGCTCGAGTGGTACCCGGAAGGGAAGCGGCGAGTTGGTCGTCAGCGTGAGGGTAACATGGGGGAGGAGGTCATGTGAAGAGGAGATGAAAACGTGTCTGCAGACTTGGAGCCAGGTGAAGACTCTAACAGAGAACCGAACGCAATGGAGACGTGAGCGGCTGAAGCCTTATGTTCCTCTAGGAATTAAAGGGAACAATAATAAATAATATTAATAATCAGTGTTTCTTTGCCCTGCCTGGTAACTGGATATTTTCATCTCTCTCTTTCATCTGAATGCGAAATGCTGAAAAGTTTCCATTGTGTATGATCATTATTGTTCGGAATAGTGTTTAATTTTACATATATATACGTATATATTATTACTGTATGCATATATTGATCGATTGTTTTTTGTTTAAAATGAACTCTGTGCAAGTATGTTAAAATTGTTTCTGTAGATATACTACTTAATAATGACTGTGGCCTGTAAGCAGCTGACGAGAAGGCAACGAAATAAACAATGAGAGTACATCACTTTATTCTGCAAAAACCACTGTAGTTCTTGCTTTGTTCAAATTCATTATTCATTAAGGGAAATAAATGCATGAAATTCCACAATTTCCCGTTCAGTTTTTCTCAGTGAGTGTTTGAAGACGTCCAGAGTATACCCCCTCCTACGAGGTTATCAAATATACTGTTCTTACCTTGGACGCCTAACTTTATCACCTAATTGGTTAGAAAACCTCCAGGGAGTACTGGACAGCTATTTCATCCTAGTTTGATACTCTTTATCAGTACGCACCCACTGCACCGGGGTTCGAACCCAGGAGCTTCGGGTTACAAGGCCAGCTAGCTAGCTCATATGCCATTCAGCCACTGGGACACCATTCATTGGCTTACGAATTGGTAGAAGTTAGAATTCATCCGCTGACTGGCTGGCCATTGAATCAGGCGGGTCCCAGTGGCTCGATGGTCTACGAGCTAGCTCGCTATGCTTGTAACCAGAAGGTCGTGGGTTCGAACCCTGTCAGTGGGGTGGATGCGTACTCATGAAGAGTCTCAAACTAGGACTAAACAGCTGTCCAGTTCTCCCTGTGACAGCTCATGATGGAATCCTGTACCCAATCAATCAAATCCCTCCCTACAAACACCAATACTTGAAAAGGTTGATTTCGACGAAAAGTTTACATCAAAGCAAAGTGTGTATCATTTTTTAAGGCATAGTGTATAGAAGAAAACTTCATCACCGAGTGAAATCAGCGCGTTCTTGTTTAATAATAATTATTATTATCTGGTCTGCTTCTGTCTCTCTTGAACAGGTAATTCGCCTGATCAATTTGTTTGTCCAGTGTGTCGTAATGAAATTCAATCAGAAGATTTAGAAGACCACTACAGTTATGAATTGAAACAAATACAAAATTTCACAATCAGGTAATTTTCTTTTATTTCTTAAAGTTTATTTTTACGAGTTTGACCATGCACCCACGCACGCACGCACGGATTGATATCAATGAGGAGTTAGAGAGAAGCATTGAAAACCAGCTAGGTCAATGAGGAGTACTCGGCAGCCAGCTGTTTCATCTCATCAGCCTAGTTTGGGAGTCATCATCGGCAGTATGCACCCACCACTGCACCGGGGTTCCAACCCAGACAGGACCTTCGGGTTACAAGCAAGGCCAGCTAGCTGGCTGGCTCGTATACCATTAAGCCACTCACTGGGACCCGACCCGATTCAGTGGCCAGCCAGTGCATGAATTCTAACTTCTACCGATCCGTGAGCCATTGAGTCGGGTCCTGGTGAGTGGCTGAATGGTATACTAGCCAGCCAACTAGCTGGCCTTGTAACCGGAAGGTCATGGGTTGAACACTGGTGCAGTGGGTGAGTACTGTCGATGATTCCCAAACTAGGCTGATGAAACAGTTGGCTGTCTAGCAGTACTCCCTGTGGCTGGTTTTCACAGACAAACACAGTCTTCTGACCGGTGGTTGCATCTCTTTGTGACTGTTTCTTGAAGGTCAGATCATCTATCTATCTGCCAATTGTATCCGCCTACTCAAATGAAGTGTGCTGTGATTGGTTATTGGTTGGGTCAGTCTTTGTTCTTGTTCTCTTCTCATGACGAATATTTGGAACATAAACATTGACGTAAATTACTGTCTACCAGTTTTTTGTGGCTAGCGCAGACAGCTCTCACCACACTAGTACTGATGCTTTGACCCCTTGTCTGAGGATCAAGATGACGATGTTATTTTTGGTTGCGGATGGTTGGCAGCAGAATCCGGGCTATGCATCTCACCCTGTCTGGGACTTCTCTCATCCAGATGTATCTCCAGACTCTTTATGAAACTCGAATCTCAAACCCATCATGCTATAGTGGATAATATATATAGTCGGACGATTAGTGTTCTGTATTTGAGTCTAATTGGGGGAAAATCATCCGTTACTGTGAGTGCACGTGCATCTAACTGATGTGTCCGAAATAGGATGAAATGTGCATCCACACACTAGACACTGCACTGTTACACATCACCAACCACAAATGACACAATGTAGTGTTAGTGCCCATTATATATATTATACTATTCTGTTATATATGTCCAAACCAAGTTCACTTTTAACAGTTTGAAAAAATTTGGGCATTGGGTATATGATATTCATTATAATAAAGGCTTTTGTATTTCCCAATGAATGAAAAACAAAACGATATTATTGTTGCTTTTACTGATATTTCGCTATCTAATGCTGCTGCTAATAGCTTTATCAAAGCAGTGTTATTAAACCAGAAGAATTTACAAAATCCACTCAGCATACATATATAACAAAGAGTTAAGAGGTGGGTGAGAAAATAGACTTAACTACTTAGGTCAAGTTAAAAGGAGGACATATGGAAGGTGAAAATAACAATGAAGATCAATCGCTAAACCACATAACAGAGGTAATAGTACATCTGCCATGGTTGGTATCAAAACAAAGTTTACTAACTTGATCATCGTTCGTCAGTATGGGGTCATTTTTCGTTGTCAAATTGGTCAATTGGTAAAGATAACAAAACCAAGTGTAGATTGTTGGATTTGATCGGTGTGTAAAATTACAAAGGCAGTGTGAGTTTACATCAGACACACTTCAAAGCAACCTTGTCCATATAAAAGACCAAATCCCTAAAGATTCTCCATCTAATTATGTCTATAAAGTAAAATGGTTGCTTGGAATGTGATGCGATATACATCGGACAAACATCGCTAGAGAGAAATGAAAATCAGAAGAAATGAACACCGTAGAGCATCTCTTGGACCAACAAGAAATCCCGTTGAACTACAAAAACTTGAAAAATCATGAGCCATAGGTGTACATGCTATAGAATCAGGTCACAAAATTGATTTTGACAATATTGAAATCGTCATCCAGAAAAAGCATTTCAGAAATCACAAAGAACGTCTAATATCATCAGAAGCCAGTACTTCATATCAAATGGAATCCAAATTGTATGAACTGAATAGGAATGATGGACTAAAACAGAATCTGACCTGGATACAACACCTCCCTCCCCAATGAAGTGACAAAATCAACGCGAATGTGACAAGCAAGTTCACTATGTAAACACACACTGCCTTTATAATTTTACACACCGATCAAATCCAACAATCCACACTTGATTTTGCTATCTTTATCAATTGACCAATTTGACAACGAAAAATGACCCCATACTGACGAACGATGATCAAGTTAGTAAACTTTGTTTTGATACCAACCATGGCAGATGTACTATTACCTCTGTTATGTGGTTTAGTGATTGATCTTCATTGTTATTTTCACCTTCCATATGTCCTCCTTTTAACTTGACCTAAGTAGTTAAGTCTATTTTCTCACCCACCTCTTAACTCTTTGTTATATATGTATGCTGAGTGGATTTTGTAAATTCTTCTGGTTTAATAACACTGCTTTGATAAAGCTATTAGCAGCAGCATTAGATAGCGAAACATCAGTAAAAGCAACAATAATATCGTTTTGTTTTTCATTCATTGGGAAATACAAAAATAACTTTATTATAATGATCATACTATTCTGATTCTAAAAATTGTCAGTCACTTTCTCTGATGATTTTTTTTCTACCTTTTTGTTTTTTTGTCGTTTTGTATTTCAGCGTGCCGACAGAAGAAATGATAAAGATGTCCAGTAAACGAGAGGTAATCACATCACATTCTGAAAAACCTCTTTTTTATTCATTTATTGTGTGTAGTTGTCACCACCTACCATCATCAGTCAGCAGACGAATGAAGCATTGCAGAACAGTGAATCGAGATTTGCAATATTTAAGAATATTGAAAAGAACCGGAAAGAGAGAAGAGGTAATCTTGGTATTTTACATTTCTCAACAACAACAACAAAAATAACACCTACCTACTCATTACTTAATCATGTTTGTGTTTTTTTTAGAGAAGTTTCTGGAACACCTTTATTCCCTGAATGATAGAAATGATAACAGAGAAAAACGAAAACAACCACAGTGAGTTATATAAAAACAGCAGTCCTATATGTATATATATATATATATATGTTAGTAAAATTGTTTTCAAAAGAATTGATACTGAACGAGGAATAAATACTCTTTTCGATAACCCCTTCATCATCATCATCATCAGGATCTACAGTTATGAATGAATTAGTGTTATGAACAGCAACATTAATGTTGCTGTTTAAATAACATCGAATCAATAATGATAATAATACCAATGGATTACAGTTCAATAGCATCAACACAACAATACACACTGAATGTCAGTTGAATTAGGAAAGATAATATTATAAATTCATGAATTTATAGTCTCCACCCACTGAAGGCCAGTCGGTCAGGGCAGTAGTAGGGACTAGATAGCTGGGCTTGCTTCTTCTCCACACAGAGCACTCACTGGTTGTTTGAGGCGAATTGCAATAGTCTGTGGTGTTTGGAGTTTGCGGTGCTTCGATGATGATTTTGTCAATTTATGTGCACCCGGTAGATGATGGTCGAGAAGGATTCTTCCACGCTGGCTGGCTTTGTGTCTGCTTTGGGCCACGTAGTCTAATTTTGAATTGTTAATGGTTTTCACTACACTTTTACTTAGCCATAGTGAGAGATGTTCTCGAGCGACCACGAAAAATCAAGTTCCTAGAGCAACAACGGCCAATATAACTCGCTCCACCACAAGCACAAACACAGTTGCAGTTGAATTGGTAGATACAATTTGAAGTGGTCAGCTAGTCTGGTCTAGGTACTTCATCTTTCAGTCGAGGTAGCACCATCGGTCGTGTAGAGATTAAGACATGTAGTTCGCCGCCAGCATTGAGAGTACTTTGAACTGATTTTCTTAATTTCCTCGTAATTATCTCACTTGCTATATCGATCACCCTTGAATTGCAGTCATATAAAAAAAGGCTTCTTGTTTACAGATAGTGAGTAGTTCTTTTCCGCCGCTTTCTTTGACCCGAATAAGAAAAGAAATCCGGCGAACAGTTCAGCTATCGCAAGCACTACATGCAATCACACACAATCATACAGTAAGCTGGATTGGATAGGATGACAGTTTTAAAATCTAATGTCACAGGATGGAAGGAGGGAGGGAGAGATTGATAACAACGGAAGCTTTGTTTATCGAATCAACTGAGAGAGAGAGGGAATACGTGTAATAGGAATGATTCAACACCTGTTCAGCCAGATATCTGGAAAATTCTACTACCCAAACGATGACAAATAGGAGAGGACATAGAAAACTATAACACTCAAGTTTCGAAGTCAAGTGTGATTATAATAATTGGTGATGTGTATGATTATGAACAGCAATAATGATGAATTGTGTTCGAAACAACTTTGTCATCCAGTAAATACTAATACTGTTTCACTCACTCACTGACTGACTGTGTGTGTGTGTGTGATACATCCATCTAATAAACAAACTAATATTGGAATTACTTACTACCACCCCAACCACAGTGCCCAAGTTTTACACACATATATTAATACAAACATTCACTCCCTCCCTCACCCACCCACTCACTCACTCACTCACTCACTAGGCACAAATGTGTGTGTATCATATTTCTGTGTGTACCTGATTACACTACAATACACTACACTACCACCTTACACTGTGATATGATATTAATTGCCAGCACACACTTTGTCTCCCCCCCCCACCCCACCCCACCCCGCCTACCTCATCATCATTGCAGATGTGTGTACCAACCACCAATTAAATTTGATTGACACCAACAATAAGGAATCTAATTCATCAGTGGTAATTCCATACAAGGAAGGAACCTCGGAAACCACCCACCTTACGCAGAATTCTTAACAATGCTGGCAGGAATAATAGTGGCTTTAATTCAAACCAACCACAAACTCAATCGGAAACAAGCTTTGTCCGTTAAAGGATCAATTCTGTGGAGCCTTTAAAACACAACAATTTAGTTTATCTAATCCCCTGCCTGCTGGAATGATTGTCAGGTCAAAAACATAGGTCAAACTAGTAGAACAGGGGCAGTCAGTGAGTCAGACTAGCCGAGCAGCATAAAAACCTAGCAGCAAAAGCTAGATTGGTTGATCCGAATATATATATATATATATACCACAGCGGACCCAATGATGATCCCATGGCAATTCCATCTCTCTGTCTTAAAATCTCATTATTGAAGGTGAACTGAACATTCAACGTGCATCTCAGTAAAACCTTCTCTGAGGTGGATTGTCGGCAACCCTATTTCTAAACTATATGTATCAATATAATCACATAAATAGCAAACAGTTTCCATGAGAGGAACATTGGTAAGTAGCGACGTCACATCTAATGAGAACATGACTTTGTCTGAGACATTAAAATCTTTAATGCTATCGAATAAATTTAAACGTATCATCAATGGAAAACTTAGATACTTGCCTTCTGACTGGTTCCAGTATTTCAGCTAGCCTTTGAGCGATTCCGTGATAAGGAGAACCCGCCATATCTAGGATTGGACGGAGGGGTAATCCTGTCTTATGAATTTTAGATAGTCCATACAAACGTGATATAAGTTCTTATTAAATAAACCATATGTATATGATTGTACAGCTTGAAAAGAGTCTCTTCGCTGAATATTGTGTTCTTAATGCTACGATGGGAATTAATAAATTATCTTTTAATATACATACTACTGATAAATCGTATCAGTAGCACAAACGCCACAGTAGTATTGTGTTTCGGGTGGGGGGGGGGGCGGTCAAACACAGTTTCTTCTAATTTATTCAGAAACCTGAATCAGATGAGACTGGCTCAGCACTAGCTGACGGAACTGCTTACTTACTTATTTAAAGTAGTCAGGACTTCACTCATCATTTCAACGACTCATTTCAATCTCCTTTGATACGCCAATGATTTTCCTGATTGCAGTAGATTGGATAATGCGACAGACGGTGGCGGGCAATGAGGAAACAGGCACAAAATGGACTCACACAAAAAGAGACTTGGAGGGTCTGGACTTCGCCGATGTGATATATATGTCTGATTTCCCACAAACTGGAAGATATGCAAGCGAAAAGCTGCAACAAGTTGGCAGAAGAAGCATCCAGAGAAGATAGGACTTCCTTTAGGTGAACATGGAGAAAACAGATGTGTTGATGAAGACTCCTGGCCAACAGCAACAACAACAGACAACAATCAGCCAGCATAAATGGAAGGAACCTGAAAGAAACAACCTCCTTCACCTACCTACCTACCTACCTGGGAAGCATCGTTTCAATTACAGGCCGACGGAACTGACGAGGATATCAAAGCAGCGAGGATCGGGAAAGCAAGACAAGCCCTCATTTCTCTGAAGTCTGTGTGGAGGTCAACAGCACTCAGCAATCAGCATGAAAATGAAAATGAGATCCGGATTTTCAACTTCAATGTGAAGTCAGTCAGTGCTACTCACTATACGGATGGATCAGAGACTTGGCCAGCACGTTATGAAGAGCACCTCAAACAAACTACAGACCTTCATCAACAGCTAGTTGTCTTCGCTCAGTACTCTAGATCAGATGGCTGGTCGGCCAGAAAAGATCAGCAACAGTGTGAGATCTCTGGCAATGAGCGAACCAACACAACAGGGACCGATTGTAAAGCAGATCAGCAGGAAGAAATGAAGATGGATTGGATTGTGACCATACTCTGAGAAAACAAACCATCAAGTTAGTGACATCACTAGACAAACCATTGCTCGAGTGGTACCCGGAAGGGAAGCGGCGAGTTGGTCGTCAGCGTGAGGGTAACATGGGGGAGGAGGTCATGTGAAGAGGAGATGAAAACGTGTCTGCAGACTTGGAGCCAGGTGAAGACTCTAACAGAGAACCGAACGCAATGGAGACGTGAGTGGCTGAAGCCCTATGTTCCTCTAGGACTTAAAGGATACAATAATAATAATAAGTCTTCTGAATATTCTTCACCTACCGGCAAAGTTCAACAATAGGAGTCCCAAGGGATGCGAACGCACACGAGTGAGTGACGTTCAGCTGACCAATGATAAAAATGAGGAATGTTTACTCAAAAAATTGATGTATGTATATTGACAAGAAAATGCTTGAAAACGGATTAAAAACAGGTTATCTTTCTCTCTGACACATGGCTTAAAAATACGTCCTAGTTGTAACGAGAGGAGTATCAGTTGCTAGGTTAGACTAGTTTCTGTACGTGGGTATTCACCGAGATGACTACAGATAAACTGCTTTTGCGAATCGTTTATCTCTCTCTCTGTAATCCTGCTTGCAGTCTTCCAAAAAAAGCCCTCTGTTGAACTGTTATGGTTTCCAGCAAGAGGATAGACGACTACTTACCAGGAAAACGTGGATAATAAAACAAATTACAATAAATGACATCAACTATAAATCTATCCCTAATCGTAACCATAAGCTCAATCCTGACCCTAATCATAACCCTTATTCAAACCCTAATCCAAACCCTAACCGCAATACTTACCTTAACCCTAACGAGCTATTAACAAATTGTCCAAACAGTACTTAAAAATATGATCTGGGTGAAATTTGCTCCAAAATTGGTGAATAGCGTTGATATTTCACCTATGATTATGACAGATGCCGTTAGCCAACCGACTAGCATGCGTACAAGGTCATTGGAGCGTTCACACTCCTGGGACGGACGCTATTGTTGAACTTCGCCCACCTACCCTGTTAAACAGTCCAACAGTTTTTCGTAAATGTTAGTGCGATAAGGATTGTATGTTTCGTGATACTTACTTGTGAGTTCGGAAAGTAAACATCAGATGGCTTGTAATTTCTGATATAATTGTGTCCTTTGAGTGCGCTGGTTAACTTAACTGCGAAACTTTCGTTGTCTTCCTAGATAACTTCTTCAGAGCAGATTTACGGGCACAAAATGCCTTAAACTATTATCTTTTCTTATTAGAATTTAATTTGTGGATGGTGACTAGCAGTGACAGAATCCAGGATAACGCGCATTTCGTCCCATTTGGGACTCGTCAGTTGGCTGGATATACCTGGATCCTGGATTCCACTGCTAGTCACCATCCACCAATTAAATTCTAATTAAAATGCCCAGATATCGTCGTTGAAACATCTGCACAAGAAGCTAACAGACATGTCAACCTGAGACCGAGCACTTCGGTCGGTCCAATCAATCAATCGACGGACGGGAAAATCTAAAATTCAATTTAAATTTAATTGTGTCCTCTGAGCCGGTTAATTTAACTGCTCTCTCTTAAGAGCAGATTTCAAGGGGCGAAAAATGCCTTAAACTATCATCTTTTCTGCTCTAAACATTCATCTGAATTCCATCCACTGAAGGAAGGCACGTACAATCATTATTCCTCCCCCTCTCAGTCTATATTTCTGGTTAACAGGGAGTGAGTGATTAGCTGTTTGAAAAGCAAACGGTTGTCTAATCAATGTTATCAGCTCATGATGAAATCCTCTAACCAACCAATCAAGTCCCTACAAACCAACAGTTGAATATCGATGAGATACTCACTGGCGACTTTCCCTATTCAGGTAGGTAGGTAGGTAGTTACCTCGCCTGGGTGGGTTCTAGTGTGAAGTCGTGACCAGTAGGGTGCAGCAGGTCGGGAGGGGTGTGTGTGAGGATAAACATTCACCAACGAAGACATTGGCTAGCGGTTGTGCTATGTCGTGCATGAATTGACAGAAGTTAGAATTCATGCACTGACTGGCTGACTGGCTATTGGATCGGGTCGGGTCCCAGTGGCTGCTGAATGGTCCTCGAGCTCGCTCGCTAATCTTGTAACCAGAACGTGGTCCTGGGTTCAAACTCTGTAAGTGGGGTGGGTGCGTACTGCTGAATAACCGGTCCCAAACTGGGACGAAGGAAACAGGCGTCCAGTACTCCCTGTGGCAGGCTTTCCTATTGTTCTCTAAACAATGGTTCAGCTGGTCATGATGAAATCCTCAAGTATACTATACTATGCCCACTGTTCAATTGCTTTCTTTTTTTAAAAAAATTGCTTTTTAGAGTGATACCTAAATTCTACAACGTTACCAAGTGATTGTCAACGAGTCGTCTGTCGCTAAGTAACAGTATATCATCATTCATATCGATTATTCTGAGTCAAAATAATTCTGAGACAGTCATGACAGTCATTCACTGATGTCATCAGCCAACCATATTTTCTTCTTTTGTTTTTCGTGTAAATAGTGTTAACTTTCCAATTTCCTCTAATCATCTCATTTCTTCTCCCCCTTCTCTCAAGTATCATAATAATAAAAAGTCTTATTAAAAAAAACTGTTGGTGACTTCTTTTTGCTTTTCATTTGAATGTAGGTGGTTGGGTACACACCCGTCCCTCCCTTGAATCTTGAACATGTATTTCTTCACTGAGATGTGAGATTTAAAAAAAATGATGTTGAAGTACACACGCACATTCACTCATAATCCGAATAACAGTGTGACATTAATTTTGAAACAAATAGAGAAGATTTGTAGCTCAGGTGGATGATTTAATAATAATAATAACAGCTTTATTCCAGACAGTATTTGTGGTACAGGTGTGGAATTTTCAGCTTGCATTATTATTATTATGATTATTATTGTTTCCTTTAATTCCTAGAGGAACATAGGACTTCAGCCGCTCACGTCTCCATTGCGTTCAGTTCTCTGCTAGAGTCTTCACCTGGCTCCAAGTCTGCCCACATCCTTTCATCATCTTCTCTTCACATGACCTCCTCCAAGTCACCCACCCTTGCACTGACGACCAACTAATTTGCCGCTTCCCATTCGATCGGGTTCCACTCGAGCAATGGCTTGTCTAGTGATGTCACTCACTTGATGGTTTGTTTTCTCAGAGTATGGCCACAATCCAATCCATCTCCATTTCTTCCTGCTTATTTGTTTCACAATCGGTTCCTGCTGTGTTGGTTCGCTCATTGCCAGAGATCCCTCACTGTTGCTGATCTTTTCTGGCCGACCAGCCATCTGATCTTGAGTATTGAGCGAAGACAACTAGCTGTTGATGAAGGTCTGTAGTTTGTTTGAGGTGCTCTTCATGACGCGCTGGCCAAGTCTCTGATCCATCCGTATAGTGAGTAGCACTGACTGACTTCACATTGGAGTTGAAAATCCGGATCTTATTTTTGATTCTGAGTAGGGCTGTTGACCTCCACACAGACTTGAGAGTAATGAAAGCTTGTCTTGCTTTTCCGATCCTCGCTGCTTTGATATCCTCGTCAGTTCTGTCGGCCTGTAATTGAAACGATGCTTCCCAGGTAGAGGGTAGGTAGGTGAAGGAGGTTGTTTCTTTCAGGTTCCTTCCATTTATGCTGGCTGATTGTTGTCTGTTGTTGTTGCTGTTGGCCAGGAGTCTTCATCAACACATCTGTTTTCTCCATGTTCACCTAAAGGAAGTCCTATCTTCTCTGGATGCTTCTTCTGCCAACTTGTTGCAGCTTTTCGCTTGCATATCTTCCAGTTTGTGGGAAATCAGACATATATATCACATCGGCGAAGTCCAGACCCTCCAAGTCTCTTTTTGTGTGAGTCCATTTTGTGCCTGTTTCCTCGTTGCCCTGCCCGCTGTTTGTCGCATTATCCAATCTACTGCAATCAGGAAAATCATTGGCGATAGTAGGCAGCCAGCTTGTCTTAACCCCGTCTTCACTTCTTCGAAGGATTCCGTAAGTTTCTCGTTGTGGATTACTTGGCATGCAGCGTTGTCGTACAACTAACTGTTGGATGAGATGTATAACTGTCGATGACATCCCGTAGTAGTATCACTGACTGCTTCAATGTTATTTGAAGCAGCAATATTCTTGTTTATCGGAATATTTCTTCAATCATTATGACTTCATAATAATAATAATAACAGCTTTATTCTAGACAGTATTTGTGGTACAGGTATGGAATTTTCAGCGTGCATAACACTATACTGCATCTAATTACCTCATAAATTTTATAAGATTTTAAAATCAGAAAGCAACAACCAAAAAAAAATTAAAAAAAGACCAGCGTTGCGTTTACATTTTCAAACAATGCACCACAGGATATGAAATATAAAATTAGTGTGTAATAGAAGATATGAGCAACAATATAATGGTAACACAGAAAGGAGAACAAAAGCTAATGGGAACTATTTGTCAGAGTGCTGCAGTAAGTTGATCGTGTCATACCTAACGAATTTCTCATCACATAATAACAGCTGTGCCAGATAAGGTATTGTGGAGATTTTGTACTTGGTAGTCCTAGCGTATGGCCTCTTATAGCTGCTTCTAGTTCTACCAGATGAAATGCAAGGAGAGAGCTGCGTATGGAGAGGATGCTTGGGGTCTGACAATATAGTATTCGCTAGTTTCTTACATGACATTATATGTCTATCCACAATGGTGTTAATCAGTTGGTTTAGCGATATTCCACTTCCCCTACTAACGGCTTTTAGTGCCCTTCTCAGCAATGCAAAGTCTTTCTTAAGTAGTCCAGGAAAGATTTATGGGGAGCAGTAAATAGGGATGGATAGCAAACACAAGAATTAACAAACTGAGAAAGCAAAGACTGCTTTACACCAGACTGCCTTAACTTCCTAACGTAGAACGTTAAGCGAAACATCTTTCTAGTAACTAGCAAGATATGAGAGGACCAGGAAAAATCCGAAGAAAAAACTCAGTTCAAGGTATTTGACATTAGATGTAATTTCAACCTCTATGCCGTCAATGATAGTGGGGCCATGTGAGCTAGCTAGTTGTTCTAGGTCGCGTTTTCGTCTGAAAGTGAAATTGACTATCTGACATTTAGACAGATTTAGCTTAAGGCCGTTTGAAGAGGACCACTGACTAATTTCCGAGAGAAAGTTATTTAATTTGGAACAATCTGACTGAGAGTTGACAGGCATGGAAACAGAGAGGTCATCAGCATACTTGACAAAAGTGGCTACATCAGAATGGGGCAAGTCATGTAAGAAAGAAGAAAACAGAAAAGGAGGAAGAACAGCACCATGAAGAACACCAGCTAAAGTAAGTGTGGTAGTGGAGGACTTTCCATTGTAGACGGTGTACTGCTTCCTATCAGAAAAATAGGAATGCAACCACTTATTTATCCAACTCTCAGCCTGTGTTGTAGCAAGCTTACTTAGCAAGGGAGACCTAGGTACAGAGTCAAATGCAGATGTGTAATCAAGGAAGGCACACCGAACGTGTTTAACTCCTCTATCTAGACTAAAGACTATATTATGATATAAGACAATAGCGGCATCTAAGGTACATCTACTATGTTTATAAGCAAACTGGTTGGGATCATTGAACGGCTTTAAAGAGGGTTCAAGGTTAAGTAAAATAAGTCTTTCCATAACTTTCAAAAAAGGTGAGGTAATAGCAATGGGTCTAAGCTTAACAGTAGGTCCACTTATTGATTTAGGCACTGGAATAATCTTGATATTTTTCCATGAGTCAGGTATGATACTTTTGGAAAAAGATTCGTTGAAAATGTCGGTTAATGGGTAACATAAGATGTCATCACACTTCTTAAGGATAACAGCAGGAACTCCATCAGGACCAAGGGACTGAGTAGGTTTGAGAGATTGAAGACACTTAAGGACATCATTCGTGTTAAAGCATGAGAAACAGTCGTTATTTGCACTATTAGAGTTAGGAATCATAACATCTGCAGGGATACAATATGAAGGATTTATTAAGCATATAAGCACTATACTGTAGTTTTGCAATTAGTAGTGTACTCTGAGGAGCTAGTTGGGGTTTAGTTGCGGAGCTTTCGTCATCCCCCCCCCCGGGGCTGGACAACATCCCCCTTCAGCGGAATTTTTAGCATAAAGTCAACTGATTTCAATTTTTTCCATGAGTGGTGATAGAATTGCGTCTCCGGGTAACCATCTTTACATGGGTATTGATCACTTTCTATTGACTTGGATTATAAACTTTCTCGTCACATGATTTACTTTTTATTAGTTGGTATATTTGGTCTATATATTGATGTATTTGTTAATTGTATATTCGTTTGAGTACTGACCAGGCTTCTAGGAATTCCCTAGCACTTTTGGTGTTTCCCCTGTCAAAACTTTCGACATTCTCCCAGTTATCAAACTGATGTCCATAATTATGTATATATGCATTGATATGAAACAGGGATATATATCACGTCTTTTCACAGCTGATTTGTGTTCCTGGATTCTGATTCGACGCCCACTTCGACCACCGATGTAATGCTTGTTACAGTTCACACACGCAATTTGTTTTGTAAATGGTATTAATTTCATCTCCTTTTTCTGTTGGATGTGTCTTTCGGTTTGCACAATATCGAATTAAGTGATTGGACTGGCTGGCTGGCTGGCTTGTGTGCTATATCTATATCAAACGGTTTCAATATTCTCGCTGTTATTTCAGAGATATTTTCGCTTTTATATATGGTAGGATGAATTTTCTTGTGTTCTTTGATGATGATCGTTCCTTGTTGGTGTTGTGATTCGATTTTAAACACTTTTTGATGAAATTTTGTGCGGATAACCATTCTTTTTGAAGACCGTCTGTAGGTATTTTTCTTCCATTCTTTTCAACGCTGGAGGAGTGCTACAGTCTGTGTTGAACTCTCTTGTGAACAATGTCTACACGCAGTTTCTTTTGTGAGTGAGTAATTGGATTATTGCTAGTATAGTTGAGTGTTTGATCTGTGTGTGTGCGTTGATTTTCTATATACTTGTGTTTCTAAATCTCCTGTGTTAGTTCTCCTGAATAAGACATCTAAAAGTGGGATTTTGTTATCTAATTCTTCTTCTCTTGTGCTGAATTTGATGTCTTCAAATATGTTGTTTATTAATGTATAGGTATATTCTAAATCACATTTCTCTTAATTATTACAAATGTACCATCAACGTACGTTACGTAGGTTATGTTGTTTGATTCCGAACAATACAGTACGGTACAAGTTGTTTTAGAGTGTTTTTCTGACAAAATGCCTATTTTTTATTTTACAGCATCTAACAGAGAAATAATATTCCACGGTATTTTCATCAGTAAACATTACTGTATAATTTGAACAAAGCAAGAACTACAGTGGTTTTTGCAGAATAAACTGGTACTATCTTTTGTTTATTTCGTTGGTTTCTCGTCAGCTCAGCTGCTTACAGGCCAAAGACATTACTAAGTACATCTACAAAAACAGTTTTAACATACTTGCTCAGAGTTCATTTTAAACAAAAATCAATCGGTCGATCAATATATGCACACAGCAATAATATATATAGATATATATGCA